TTTTTTACTTTCACAGATGCTGCCAGACCTGCTGAGCTTTTCCAGCAACTTTGTTTTTGTACAGATTGTTGCTGTTGAACACAGCCACATAACTGCAAGTTTTGTCCTGTGCAATGTCCTTGCTTCATACACAGGGCATAGTCCAACAGCTAGTAGGCTTAGAATCGTAGAAACTGTCTGTCTGTGACCAAACTTTCACCAAACTCACAGAAAACACTGACAATAATTCGCAGAGGCAAAGCTCGCCCCGGCCTTGCACTCAACCCTCTGCGCCGATTGATCAGTTACCTCAGGCTTGAACGGAATGTTTCGGCGGTAGAAAGCAGCGCCACGAAAGCGTTTACGGCTGGAAAAGGGCGACCGAGGGGACTGGGGACGGTGGGGTGGGGGGTGGCGGTCAGAACCACACTGTTTAATCCTGCTGCGTGTTAAAATATTAACGGGAGTCGGGGAGAGGCACCTTCGCCGGCGGTTATTGACCGCACGAGCTGCGCCAAGATGGCGTCGCGACTGTTTGAAGAGCGGGAACACGCCGCCCTGTACCAGAGATACCGGCTCTCCTCGCCCTTCCAAATCCGCAACCTCATCCTCGACTACTTGCAGAGAAAGGTGAGAGTGTGGAGGAATAAGGCGGAGCAGGTTCCCCCGGCACATGAGCAGGTCAACCCGAAGATGGCAGCAGCTCGACCTGTATCAGCAAATAAGGTTTTTTTTTTGTTTTGGCTGCCGCCGTCCCGGATCCGTCAGTGAGTCCGAACCCACTGGGTTTGTTTGAATGGGGTGTATTTCCCACTTTTTTTTGTGCTGATAAAAGCTGATGTGGTAACTGAAACCTTCTGAAAACCGCCTTGTTTTCCTCTTTCTGAAGGTCGAGTGGATCCATAAAAGGCCCATTCCCGTCATCCAGCTGCCCATGAGAGACCATTCCTTATGAGGTTAGCCGGCCGTAAACGACACACAAATCTCCAGAACTGTGTTGAAAGGGAAACAAAAAATGAGTCCGTCTTCAAACTCAGCTGGATAAGCCCCAACGCCCCCTTTTAAAGAAGTAGGCTCACTACGAGTAGGGGAACACGGGCAAAAGTTTGCTGGAACAGCTCAGCAGGTCTGGCAGCATCTGTGAAACAGAGAGAGAGAGAAAAATATCATCAAGGAGTTAAACGTTTCGGGTCCCGTGGCCCTTCCCGTTTCTGAGGCCCTGATTTCTTTTGCTCTCTCTGCTTTACAGATGCTGCCAGACCTGCTGAGCTTTTCCGGCAAACTTCTGCTCCTGTTCCCGATTTACGGCACTCGCAGTTCTTGCAAGGAATTTGTCAAAGCGTTACCGTTCAACCGTCAATATCGTTCACAACTAGGGTTTAGGATGCAAGCAAGAGGGGACTGGGGTTGGGGTTTTTTTTTGGGGTGGTGGTCGTGGTGGTGATGGTCTAAAGAGAGAGCTGGCATGAACACAACGAGTGAAATGGCCTCCTTCTGTGCGAGAACCCACTCCACTATTCCAGGGTTTTGTGCATAGGTTTTGCAAAACCAATGTCGCTCGTTTCGACGATGTGAGGCCCGCGTTTATGTAATTACGTGTTGGAAATAGGGACTAAAGCTTTTTTTTTTGTACGAGTTGAATGTGACAGTGGGGCGGTCAGTTTCAGGGCTGCACAAGGGATAAGCAGGTTGTGTGAGAGGGTCAGTTAATGAACCAGTCCATGCAGTCTGATCTGAGTAAAACGTCTCTCCTTCTCAAGCAGCAGCCTGCAGAGTGAAAAAAGAGTTCTCTTGACCCAAAACCTGAAATGTGATTATTCGAACGTCACAGAACTCCTACCAGCATCAAGACTGCTGCTAATCTAACTCCTGGATTTTCGTTACATCTCACTGATCAATTGCCCATTCTCACCCCACGCAATGTCTTAATTGCCCTGGTTGGCACCGTGGTTCAGGGATTCGCATTGCTGACTCACCGCCAAGGACCCAGGTTTGATTCCAGCCTCAAGTGACTGCCCATGTGGAGTTTGCATATTCTCCCTGTGTCTGCGTGGGTTTCCTCCCACAGTCCAAAGATGTGCAGGTTAGGTGGATTGGCCATGCTAAATTGTCCTTAGTTTTCAGGAATGTGCAGGCTAGGTGAGTTGGCCATGGCCAGTGTCCCGGAGGTAGGGTCGGTGACTGGGTGGGATGCTCTTCAGAGCGTTGGTGCAGACTTGATGGGCTGAATGGCCTTTTTCTGCACTGTAGGGATTCTATAATTTTGGACAGGTCTGAAACATGAAGGGGTCCCTGGCTCCATCTACTGGCACCTCAAGCATGGCCAGAGGCAGGGTTTAGATAACCCAGAAACCTGAAGAGGAAAGTCTGTGGAGCGGACTCACAATTTGGATAAAATCATGCAGTTTGTGTCAGGATTTTAACAATGTGAATGGAATATTTCAGATCAAGGTCACATTGATAAAAAGAATAGTAAACCATGAAAATCAAAGGTGCTGTATCTGAATGGATGAAACATTCCTAACAAGGTTGAATTAAGGACATGTACAGAGATAGGGTTTAATAGAATCGTCATTATGGAGATATGGTTGGAGGATGACCAACTCTGGAAATCAAATATCTTGGGTTACAGGTACTTGATTTTCAGAGAAGGATGTGAGATAATGATAAACATTGGGATAGAGGCATAAAAGAGAAAGGGTTGTACTTGAAAACATAAGAAGTGAAAAAAAATTTCAATGTGAAAGATCACCAAAAGGGGGAATGAGCTGCCAGAGGAAGTGATGGAGGCTGGTACAATTACAGCATTTAAAAGGCATCTGGATGGGTGCATGAATAGGAAGGGTTTAGAGGGATATGGGCCAACAGCTGGCAAATGGTACTAGATTAACTTAAGATATCTAATCGGCATGGATGAGTTGGACTGAAGAGCCTGTTTCTGTGCTGTACATCTCTACGACTCTGACTAAAAAAATTAGAGATGGAGGTGATGGTGTAGTGGTCTTGTTACTAGTCAAGAGAATGTTCTGGGGCAAAAACAGAACTCGCTGGAGAAACTCAGCATCCATGGTGAGAAAAACGGAGTTAACATTTCAAGTCCAGAAAATCAGCATGTCGAGTCATTATGGGTGGAGTTAAGAAATAGTGAAGGGGAGCAGACACTGGTGGAAGTAATCATCGTGTTGAGTTTTTTTTTGCCTTTATTTATTCATAGGATGATGGCATCGCTGGTCAGGCAGCATTTATTGCCCATCCCTATATGGCCAGAGGGCAGTTAAACGTCAACTACATTGCTGTGTGTCTGCAGTCACATATACCCCAGACCAGGTAAGGATGGCAGTTTCTTCCCCCCAAAGGACATTAGTAAACCAGATGGGTTTTTCCTGACAATCCACAATGGATTCATAGTCATCATTAGACTCTTAATTCCAGATTTTTATTGAATTCAAATTCTGCCATGTTGGAATTCGAACCCAAGTCTCCAGAACATTATCTGCACCTCTGGGTTAATAGTCCAGCAATAATACCACGAGGCCATCGCCTCCCCCATAAGTTAGTAAATTCAAGAGGCATGCTAAATGGCTAATGCAATATTGTTGTCGATTTTAAACTTCATTTAAACTCTACCAACCAAGTTGGCAAAGGTAACTAGAGGACAAGTTCACAGACTGGATTTGAGGTAGCTTTCCAGAACAATATATTGAGGAGCCAACAGAAGGACAGGTTATTTTAAATCTAGCACTGTGTAATAAGTCAGGATTAATTAGAAATCTGATTATGAAGTGATCATCGTATGATAAAATTTGTATTAATTCTGACAGTGATCTGGCTAAGCCTAAAACCAGGGTCTTAAATTCTAACAAAGCCAATTGCAGAGGTTTGAGGAGTGAGTTGTCTGAGATGTGTTAAAAAGTTATATCAAAAGGTAGGATGGTAGAAAAGGAATGCCATAAGAAGGAAAATAATTTACAGTTCTCAATGAAAACACCTTCCATGAAGTGGATCAGGAGGTAAAACGTAAATACTTAGAGTAGTTAATGATTATGTTAGATGACCAGCAACAGTTTACAATGTTACGAGAAAAGAACAGTAAGCCTTTTGGTGAAGAATAATTTTAAACCACCAATAGGTGACTAAGAAAATTATAAAAAGAGAGAAATGGAAGTGATGGTGTAGTGATCTTATTTCTACACAAGAAATCCAGGTGATCTTCTGGGGCAAAAACAGAAATTGCTGGAGAAACTCCATGGATCTCGCAGCATCTGTGGAGAAAAAGCAGTTAACGTTTCAGGTCCGGTGACCTCTCTTCAGAATTGTTCTGAAGAAGGATCAGGAGACCTGAAACATTAACTTGGCTTGGTCTCCATGGATGCTGCCAGACCTGCTGGATTTCTCCAGCAATTTCTGTTTTGCTTCAGATCTTCAACATCCACAGTTCTTTGTTTTACCTGCATCTTCTAGGCACCAGCGTTTGAATTCCTTTGTGGCAGATAACTCAATTTGAATTCGGTAAGTATCTGGAATTAAATCTAATAATGACCAGGAAACCATTGTCATAAAAACCCATCTGGTTCACTGATGCACTTTAGGGAAGGAAATTTGTTGTTATTACCTTGTCCGGCTTTCATATGACTCCAGACCTAGAGCAATGTGGTTGACCCTTAACTGCCGTCTGAAATGGCCATTTGGTTGTATCCACTGATAAGTCTCAAAAATTGAATGGCATCGTGGGTCTACCTATAGCAGTGGTTCAAGAAGGCCTGTCACCACCACCTCCAGGGCAACTAGGAACAGATAATAAATGCTGGCCTAGCCTGTGATGCCCATTTCCATGAGAGAATTTTTACGAAGTAGAAAATGAGAGTAAAACAACATGAAACATGAAAGCAGATTGCAAGAGGCTTTACATGTAAAACAGAGAGAAAACAAATGTGGAATGGAATAGAAATACTCAACAGGCCTATCAGCATCAGTGCAGAGAGAAACAGGGTTGATGTCCTGTTGTGTGTAAATTACCACGAGCTACGTTTATTTCAGCCACTTATTAAGAAATCTCTCAGACGATCAAATACTGAAACTGAAATAACTCCAAAGGTTGGTAGCTCGTCACCAAGTCAACCTTTTCTTACACATGAACAGTCCTTGACTTTTGTACCGCCTTCGTCAGCTCTCAGAGTGAACAGAACCTCTGACACTCCTGTTTATATGTGTCAGCCGGGGCTCCCTGATTGGACTGGATTAACAGCCCCAATCAGGGAACTCATATTCTATGAAGTCCACTTGGCTGACCTTGTTACAATCACTGTAGAAACAGTTGTTTAAACTTTATTGCATTCAGCAAATAAAATAAGATCCCTCAAGTAAGCAAGTTAAGTCGCATAACCCGCTTGGCTGCTACCTGATTAATGGTAGAATTTAGCTGTGATTCCAACCAACAGTATCTGTCTTATTGTATGCACTCCTTGTGTGGCGTTATCCTCCAGAGTTCTGCTACTGAAGAATCCTGGAGTTGAATTCTTATAGTTTTTTCTGTCCTTCAAGTTCATGGTGTGACATTATTGATGATCCTTTAGATTATTTCATCCATGATATTGCGAGCATGCAGCTTGCCTTCTTACCAGAACTAGCTTCCTTGTTACATTTGGCATTGACTGTCTGAAGACACAGCTTTGCTGCGATTAACTCATAGAGTCATAGAGTTGGGCAGCATGGAAACAGACCATTTGGTCCAACTGGTTCATGCTGATCAGATATCCTAGATAAATCTAGTCCCATTTGTGATTATTTGGCCCATATTCCCTTTAAACCCTTTCTATTCATGTACTCATCCAGATGCCTTTTAAATATTGTAATTATACCAGCCTCCACCACTTCCTCTGGCAGCCCATTCCATACACGCAGCACCCTCTGTGTGAAAAAGTTGCTCCTTAGATCACTTTTATATTTTTCCCTTCTCACCTTAAATCTATGTCCTCTAGTTTTGGACTCCCCCCTACCCTGGGGAAAAGTCTTTGATAATTCACTCTATCCATGCTCCTCATGATTTTATAAACCTCTGTAAAGTCCCCCATAAACCTCTGACACTCCGGGGAAAATAGTTGCCGTCTGTTCAGCCTCTTCCGATAGCTCAAACCCTCCAATCATACATTGTGTGACTATCATAACTGGACGTGGAATTACTAAGCACAGAGATTCTCAGGTGGAATGGGGATGGTAGTCAGGAGGTGTGTGTTTAATGAAAAATATTGTCCCCTTTTCAGAAGGGCAAGCCATTCACCCTCGCAGTGGATATTGGATGCGGCTCAGGCCAAAGCACCAGGGGATTGGCTTCTTACTTTGACAGAGTGGTTGGGATTGATGTGAGTGAAGCTCAGATTGAAGAGGCCAAGAAGGTAGATGGACCTGATAATGTCTCTTACAGGTAATTAATGGACACAATATATCCCTCCAATCGGAGCTCCATTGATGGCAGTGGCAGAGTGCGCCAGGGTGATACCAAATTATATAGAGCTAAACAGCCCCAGGCGTAGAGCCATTGACTCGTACGGCATGGAAACAGACCCTTCAGTCCAACCAGTCCATGCCGAACATAATCTCAAACTAAACTAGTCCCACCTGCCTGTGCTTGGCATGTATCCCTCCGAATATTTTTTATTCATGTACTTATCCATATGTCTGTTAAATGTCTTAAGTGCACCCGCATCCGCTACTTCCTGTGGACGCTCGTTCCACGTGTGGACCACTTGGTGTTTGAAAAAAAAAATTGCCCCTCATGTCTTTAAGTCTTTCTCCTCTTGCCTTAAATATATGGCCCCTGGTCTTGAAATCCCTCACCTTAGGGAAGACACCTGCCATTCACCTTATCTATACCCCTCACGTTTTTATAAACCTCTATAAGGTCAGCCCTCAACCTCCCATGCTCCAGGGGAAAAAAAAGTCCCAGCCTATCCAGCCTCCTTATGACTCAAACCCTCCATTCCCGGCAACATCCTGGTAAATCTCTTCTGAATTCGTTCTCATCCATCGCCCCTGCCCTCTCTGGTCACATCCAGTCTCAGTCCCCAAAGGCCAATTGCAGACATTAATCCTTCACATCCTGTCTCTGTCAAAACCAGACATTCCTGCACTTCAAATTCCTTTCTTCGATACCAATCCTTCCCTAACCAACACACCAAGCACTCCCACTTCTACCACCTTGTCCGGTCGCAACAGGATGGAACATCCGGGTTCATTGCCTTTCTGCTAGAATTCAGTCATTGGCTCCCAAACTGGGGTCAGCACACTGCAGAGATCTGGCAGGGGGTGGCTCAATGTGAAATGGGAGGCATGGGGTCCAGGAGAGTGCCTCACCCCGCAAGGAGAGCTTATAGAGACAAACTGTACAATGGGAAGCAGAAACACCCATCTCATTATCATCTGTAAATAAATATCTGTGCTCATCAAAGTAACTTTCAAACCCTCTTTCAATGCAGCACTTTCACATTGTGGGAATTGAATTGTTTTATTATTGAGATCGGGTGAGGGAGGCAGGGCAGGAGGATGTTGTCACAAATGCACCAGTTGGAGAACCACTGCATTGCATTGCAGGATAGTCAAGACCAAACAATGAAATGGAAATATTAAAGAGAGAATTTCATTCCAAGCTGAGCAGAAACATTCACGTGAAGTTCGCACTGTTTGTAATTTTCATAGCCTGCATAATAAAACAATCGGGTTGTGATACTCTGCCACTGTCTAGGTCAGGATGCTAAAGCTTTGTTGGGGGAGGGGTTTATTTGAGCCAAACTCATTTCACAACCGGTGATCTGGGTCATCTCCAGACACCCAGCTGTGATTATCTCCCCTGGCTTAACACTAACTAAATCCCCAGAAATAAGGGTCACCCCTCCAAAACATCTCTCTCATACTGTTCTGGCTTTCACCTCTTGCCCCAGTCATCATCAACTCTCTCCACTGAACTTAAAGTTCCTCAACCTGGAGGATGTTTCTTGACAATGAGAAAACTGAATGGTGTTTCACCCCTGGGAATATTTAAGAAACAATTTTGAGTTTACCAAAGGGGCAACTAGAAAGGGCACTGGTGGGGGTGAGCAGGCTGGATCAAAGGCAGGCTTGGGCCTTTCCTCCAAAATATGTCCTGGGTAGAACTGATCTTCGACCCGTGACCGGCTTCCAGTTGCCTTATCGCAATATTCCAATGGGCGACACCGTGGCTCAGTGGTTAGCACTGCTGCCTTAGAGCACCAGGGACCCAGATTTGATTCCACCCTTGGGCGACTGTCTGTGTGGAGTTTGAACATTCTCCCCGTGACTGCGTGGGTTTCCTCTGGGTGCTCTGGTTTCCTCCCACAGTCCAAAGATGTGCAGGTTAGATGGATTGGCCATGCTAAATTGCCCTATGGTGTCCAGGAATGTGTAGGCTAGGTGGATTGTCCTTGGGAACTGCAAAGTGACAGGGATGTGGTGGGAGGTTGGGTCTGGGTGGGATGCTGTTTGGAGGGTTGGTGTTGACTCGATGAGCTGAATGGCCTGCTTCCACACTGTAGAGACTCTATGATAATTTGTTCTCAATCAACAAACAATTCTTGCTCACTGGGGTACAAGATGTCCCTGAGATGTCCAAATAAACTCTATTGAAGGTGTTATACTCCTGCGTTTGTCGATTCACTCCACAGACAGGGTGTGGCAGAAGAACTGGAGTTCAAGGATGGTTCTGTCGACCTGCTAACAGCAGCAGCAGCTGCGCATTGGTTTGATTTGGAGAAGTTCATGAAGGAAGTTGACAGGGTTTTAAAACCCAAAGGCTGCCTGGCTCTGTATTGCTACCGAGTACCGTTTGAATTGCATTACAATGCCTGCTCTGAGCGTTTGACCCAGGTTGTGCAACAGGTAGGTAGCTGACTGGAGATAACTGAGCAACTGTAACAGAATAGGATCTGTCCATGTGTAACGTGTGGTTTAGATCATCTCTCCTTTCACTGCCCCAGTCCAAACCAATTGTACAAATGCTCAAGACTGACGTTATTCCAAGATGCATAAGACTGACGTTATTTTTGTAAAGGGGAGGATGATGTGTAGAAACAGTGATGTTGGGCACTGCCTCACTGTAATTGATTTTGGCAGACTTAGTGGGGAGACCTGTGCTCAGAGGGAGCCCTGATCAAACAATCACAGCTATTATAACTGCAATTCTCTGACTTGCAGATTTTTTGGAAGAGTAGGTTCCTCACTGAGGACCAGGCCCCCAGCATTCTGCTGCCACCTTTGATAAGAATGCTAACTCCTCTAGCAGAACAGGTCCTTGACCTACTCAGTCCTGGTGGCTGAACGTGATCAGCGCTGAGCTCAGCGTACCAGTTTGACCCACCACCACCACCCCCACCCCCCACCCCACCTCTGCTTTTCCTTTCAGTTCATAGAATCCCTTCAGGCAGAAAGATGCCATTCAGCCCATCGAGTCTGCTCTGACCCTCCAAACGCCATCCCACCCAGATCCAACGCCAACCCTATTCCTGTATTTCCTGTGGCTAATCCGCGTAGCCTGTACATCCCTTGGATACTATTGGCAATTTAGCATGGCAAATCCACCTAACCTGCACATCATTGGACTGTGGGAGGAAACCCACACAGACATGGGGAGAATGTGCAAACTCCACGCAGACAGTTGCCTGAGGGTGGAATTGAACCTGAGAAGCTGCAGTGCTAACCACTGTGCCACCATGCCACCAGTTAGTCAGTGGTTGCCAGTGTGGCCAGAAATGGAGTGCAATGTCAACAGAGTGTAAATGTGGGGAATTTGATGAGAAAAGGAAAGAGGTCCTGTGTTTTTTCTCCCCACACCAATACTTGTAGTGGTTCCTTTAATCCCGAGTCTGTAAATGTTTAAGCTCTGTTTGGGAATGCCCACAGTAAATCTCCCTGTCCTCCATCACCAACCACCACGGATGCCCATAAATCGCTAAGTTGTGATCACTTAAAGGCCTCTCACCGCCACAGGGCTTGTAAACCCAGCGATATCTGTACAGAAAGGAAGGACCAGCAGCGTGCTCTTCGACGTGATCAGCATGTCATGGCTGTAGACCCAGAGAAAGCAGACCGATGAAATCACGGGTTGTCAACTTTTGGGGTACAGTGTACAATTCTGGTTGCCCTTCTTCGGAAGAATGTTGTTAAACTCGAGGGTTGAGAAAAGATTTAAAAGGTTGTTGTCGGGACTGGAGATTTTGAGCTATAGGGGGAGACTGAATTGGCTGCGGCTTTCTTCCCTAAGCATTGTGCGCTGAGGGGTGACCTTATAGAGGTTTATAAAATCATGAGGGGCATGGATAGGGTGAATAGCCAAGATCTTTTTCCTAGGGTGGGAGATACCAAAACTAGAGGGTATAGGTTTAAGGTGAGAGGAGAAAGTTTAAAAAGGTCCTGAGAAGCAACTTTTTCGTGTAGAGGGTTATGTGCCTATGCAACGAGCTGCCAGAGGAAGTGCTGGAGTTGGGTACAATTACTCCATTTAAAAGATATCTGGGTGGGTATATGACTAGGCAGGGATTAGAGGGAAATAGGTCAAATGCTGGCAAATGAGACTAGGTCAGGTTGGAATGTCTGTTTAGTGCAAACGAGTTGGACCAAAGGGTCCATGTCTGTGCTGTATGACTCTATGAGCCACCTCCATGTTATTGAGGAACAGGTGAAGCAGATCTTTTCCCTGCTTTGTTTCCAGCTCTGAAAGCCAAATCACCTTTGATTCTGTCTGGACACCATTTTTTGATGGCTTATTCAGGTCAGGGCAATGCCAGCTAACGCTGATATCCGAGGTTCTGGGATGATTAATCTTGAGTAATTGATGAGAATGTAGGAATGAGGACAGTGTCAATGGGAGTGTGGTGATTGATGAAAGCTTTGATGTGAAAGCATTGCTTTTACAATGCAGAACGAGTCATTGGAGAATACGACACAGACACTGACGGGAATGTGTGAGGCGACTTTGGTTTAAGTAGCAGTACTCTAATTAGCACGTTGGTAATTGCAGTTGCTGTAGCCACAGTAATTGTCCTTCATTTGGTGAGGTTACACAAAAGGCAATGTAGCACTATCAGCTGTGGCATTGTAGAGATCAACCCACGTTAATGCCAGAGGAGCACCACCTGAACAAGCTGCAAAACCATGGCTGTGAAAATCCAGTGTACAAGTATCTGGAGCAAATGTAAAATCAGATATTAAATCAGTTCACCCAATCTTCCTACTACCAATCTATAACATTAGAGGTCTCCATTTCACATACATGGGTGGCATGGTGGCTCAATAGTTAGCACTGCTGCCTCACAGCACCAGGGACCTGGATTTGTTTCCACCCTTGGCAACTGTCTGTGTGGAGTTTGGACATTCTCCCTGTGTCTACGTGGGTTTCCTCCAGGTGTTGTAGTTTCCTCCCACAGTCCAAAGATGAGGATAGAGGGATATGGACCACGTATGGTGGATTAGCCATGCTGAATTGCCCATAGTGTCCAGGAATGTGGAGGCTAGGTGGGTTAGCCATGGGAAATGTAGGGTTATGGGAATGGGGTGGCTCTTGGTGGGATGCTCTCCGGAGGGTTGGTGTGGACTTGGTGGGTTAAATGGCCTGTTTCTGTACTGTAGGGATTCTATGATATACAATTCAGAATGTAAAACACTTATCACTGTAGATTGTAAGATTCCCATTCTTTCAAATGGATTTGAAATATAATTCACAATATGTATGATCTTAAAGTCAATTATCTGATGCCAATGATGATCAAGTTTCCTTTTTTAAAATTATTGTCAATCAGTTTTGTGTGCTGCAAAGATCTGTAAATTGGGTGCAGGTTCATAGTACCTTGAAGGTTGAGGGATGCCCTTGTGGAGGTTTATAAAATCATGAGGGGCATAGATAGGGTGAATAGTCAAGGTCATTTTTTCCCAGGGTAGGGGAATTCAAAACTAGGTTTAAGGTGAGAGGGGAAAGATTTGAACAGGACTTAAGGAGGAAGTTTTTCATGCAGAGGGTGATGCATGTATGGAATGAACTGCCAGAGGAAGTGGTGGAGGTTGGTACAGTTACAACATTTAAAAGGCATCTGGTTGGGTATATGAATAGGAAGGATTTAGAGGGATATGGGCCAAATACTGGCAAATGGAACTAGACTGATTTAGGATAGCTGGTCGGCATGGACAAGTTGGACCGAAGGATCTGTTTCTGTGCTGCATAACTGTATGACTCTACATGGAGCTGGCAGATTTGTACTGAATGGAGTACCATATGTGATTTGTACTGATTTATCTCATGTCTCTGCAGGATTTTCTGCTGTCATTTCCATTTAAATGGTGAGCACTGTTATGTGCAGCTAAAACCATGAGGTGACAATTCCATTTGTTATTGTGCGCCTGTGCGGTTGTAAATTCATGTCGCATTTATGCAGGTTCTGGGAACCTGTGGCCCATTCCCCCTGCACATTCCTTATTTGTTCTGTCAAACTGTGCACCGTTTTTCAGTTGTCTTAATCCGCAGTATTTTTAAACTACATGGTCGAGTTGGACTGAAGGGTATGTTTCTGTGCTATACATTTCTATGACACCATGATGCAATTGCATTTCTAAGTTTTATGTCGTTGGCAATCATTGCAACAATATTCTGTACATGCAAATCCAAAGCAGTGGTGCTAAAGCTGATCAGTACATGCCCCTTCGAACTATATCTCTATTCCTTTACCATCAATGTCAAAATCCTGGAACTCTGTCTGAAACAGCACAGTGTGTGTACCTCCACTGTAAAGACACCAGTAGTTCAAAATGACAGCTCACCACTACTTTCTCAAGGCTGATTAGGTACGGCAAATAAATGCTCCCCCATCCAGTGGCGCTTGCATCTAAGGAGCAAACGAAAACAAAACCTGGATATGTTCAGGTTCTTTGGCCACTGTTCTGTCATAGTGGGGGTGTGGGAGGAAGGTTGGTGCAATCTGGGGCGCACATCCTTGTAACCCATACGCACAATAATAACTACCAAGGAATGAATAACTAAATGATATAATGACCAATTTTCTCTTGTACTTCCTGTTCCCAGGCATTGAAGACCCTGGCTCCATATGAGAGTGAAAAAACTCGGATTGTTCGGACTGAATACAGGGAAATATTTGATACTATCACGTTCTCTGATAAAGAGAGGTGAGACCAGATTATACAGCAAACAAAAGTTCTGAAGAAAGGTCACTGGACCTGAAATGATAACACCGCTTTCTCTCCACAGATGTTACCAGGCCTGCTATTTCTCCACCAATGTCTGTTTTTACTTGTTTCAGATCACCAGCATCCACAGTTTGTTTTATATTCATGCAGCAGGCTATCTTAGATTTAAGTTTCAAGGAACAGTGATGAGGTGTTTGCTGAATGATCAAGCTTTACTGTTCATGTTCTGTGCTCTTATTCCAGAACCTATTCCCCCCACCCCCCAAGAGAGGAAATATTTAATATATATATTAAACAACCCCATCAAACCCCTCAATCTGCTTGGGTTATCAATTCACAACCTCCTTTAGCTGGAATAAATGTCCCCAGTGTGTACGCAGAGGTACCTGTGTGTTATTGCTCATACTGTCTCTGTCCACATACATCAAAAGAGACATTGTTTGATGTTCCAGGGCAGGTTTTATCCTCTGTCCCCAGTATCACATTCTCTGTGTGTTGCCCAGAAAGAGGATGTAGTCTTGGGTTTGATCTGTTAATGGAGATCACACCATACAATGTACAGGTATTGGACATGAAACCATTCCAGGAGATTTGACTTGTCAATTGACTAAAGGGATTGGAAAGGAATTTTCAGACATTTTCTGTCCTGTTGGCCTATAGATTTGTCTCTTTTTTTTTTTTTTTTTTTGTTCCCAGCTCTTTCAGTAAGCCCTGTGATTCCGGATGGATGAGAGGAGTGTCTTTACTGTCACACATCACAGAATTAGAATGATCCATCACAGCATTTATTCCAGGGTCTTTTTCTTTCTCATCAGCCTCATTCGTTTTTATTTTATTCACTCATGGGACGTGGGTGTCATTGGCTCATTTATTGCCTGTCCCTGCTTGCCCTTGAGAAGGTGGTAGTGAGCAGCCTCCTTTAACTGCTGCATTTCACCTGTTGTAGGTTGACCCACAATGCTGTTAGAGAGGGAATTCCAGGATTTTGACCCAGTGACAGTGAAGGAATGGTGATATATTTCCATGTCAGGATGGTGAGTGACTTGGAGGGCAACTTGCAGTTGGTGGTGTTCCCATGTATCCGCTGCCCTCGTCCTTCTAGATGGAAGTGGTTGTGGGTTTGGAAGGTGCTATCTGATCATCTTTGGTGAATTTCTGCAGTACATCCTGTAGATAGTACACACTGCTGCTAATGAGTGTCAGTGGTGGAGGGCACGGATGCTTATGGATGTGGTGCCAATCAAACAGACTGCTTTTTCCTGGATGGTGTGGGGCTTCATGAGTGTTGGTGGAGCTGTACTCATCCAGGCAAAGTGGGGAGTATTTCATCACACTTGTTGATGCTGGACAGATTTTGGGGAGTCAGGTGGTGAGTTACTCAGTGCAATATTCCTAACCTCTGATGTGCTCCTGTAGTCACTGTGTTTACATGGTGAGTCCAATTCAGTTTCTGGTCAAATTTCATTTAAGGGACAAAGTCATAGCCGATACCTCATAAAGATATCAGGATGTCAATGACAAAAGGAAGGTAGAGGTTAAAACTGCCAAGAATGAGGAGTCTCTGTGCAGAGAGTGAGGATGGGAAGGAAATTTTGGAGAAATCTCAGGATTGGGACAGTAGGCAGGGAATGAAGATCTTTATTGGTGAGGTTGAAGGATTGGCACCAGCAGAGCTGCTTAGTGGAGGAGAAGGTTTCAGAGGAACTGTGTGACAGGCCAAGCTGAGAATTGGTGATAAAGGCCATGTGTCTGGGTGGCGGAGGTGATGAAGGCTCTCGCTAGGCAGGGAACCTGCAGTTAGGAGAAAGAACCAGATTTCAGTCAACAAGAGGCCGAGGCAAGAACCTTGTGCATAAGTGAATGGACAATCCAAAGGGAAATGCAGAATGGGTGTATTAATCGATCCAGTGGCATAAATCCAGCAACAGGATAGTGTGAGAGGGCTCAACAGGATGAGGTGAGTTGGTAAGATTAGCCATCTGCTGGGAGAAAGGTCATTTAAAGGGGCACCTGTTACTGTTTCAGAAAACATATCTCTCTCTGCCCTTTAGAATTCTACAGTCATTCTCTATTTAAGTAATGTTCTAAGTATTCATTCTTCCTGCCAAAGAAACCAGCTTCCCATTTTGCCATGTTATACTCCATCTGCTAAGTTTTGACACCTCACTCAACATCTGCATGCAAATTCAGATGTCACAGCTTACATATCTCCCTATGTTTATTTAAGCTGTGAGTTCAGCCACCATTCCTTTGCTCCCCTTTTCAAAGTCAATCATAGAAACTGTCAAACGTTGAGGTCTCAGCACAAACCTTTGCAGGACTCCACTCGATCAGACTGTCAATCAGACAAAGATCAATTTATGTGTATTCTTTGTTTTTTTTTGGTCATCCAGCTGATCTTCTGAACAACCTGATGTGTTACACCCTACTCCATGAGCTTCTTTTTCACCGCGATAACCTTCGAAGTGGCATCTTATCAAATGCCTTCTGGAAATCTAAATACAATACGTCCACCGGCTCCCCTTTATCTACAGCACGTGTTACTCGTCCAAAGAAGTTTAATAAATTGATTAAGCATACTTTCCTTTGACAAAATAATGCTGACTCTTCCTAATTACGTTGAGTTTTTCCAAAGTGTCTGGCTACTACTTTGTTAATGATCAATTCGAAACCCCACTGACACATGTTAAGCTAATGGGCCTGTTGATTTCTGTTTTCTGCCTTCTTCACTTTTTAAAAAATGAAAGAGCATCACCTTTCAGCCTTCTCCCATTTTGATTGAGCCCCTTATTAATGTCCCCATATTAATGTGCTCAGCTTAGCCATCCAGCCCATGATGTTGGAGGTTCTTATGGCCGTGTTGGCCCTACATTTAGAGGCCAGGGTTACCATGATCTGTTTGAATCTCCCCCACCCCTCCATCCCCAGCTTCCAGTCATTTCCTATTCGCTGTGGGGGGCTGTCCTGCTATAAGCAATTACCCCTTATCATAGTGACCGTTCTCTCAGATACCCAGTACAATGAAGACCATTTCCAGGCTTGAGTTGCCTGCTTTTTGCAGGACTGCGCAGACGGCCTGTGATAAGTGCTGAGACTTATTAACCAAACCCAATTCTCCCCATTTGAGTGACTGTGGCCCACGCCCGGACTGACTTGGCAGGACGGCCTTGATTGATCAGGACACATCCCCTCTTCATCCACTCCCAAACCATCACCACCATCCCAGACTGATATCTCCACAGCACCCTGACACTCTCCTGCCTGTCATCACTGGTCTGCTTGAACTTGACCTTCAGGACTGACCATGGCCTGTTCCACATGCTGCAAGGAATTGGATCACTGGACTCTCATAGGGCTGTGTGTGCCTGACTGGCTACAACCAGACCCCGAACTGGACTTTGAGGTCCTTGACTGACGGTCGGCCTGAGTGACTTTATTCCTTATTCCTTCCACTGTGTGTTCATGTTGACGTTCACACCGCCATTTGCTTGGAGCCATGTGCTGCAGGTCTTCTGTAAGCAGTTGGCACAGGCTGCAGCTCTGATGTTGACATGGCACAGTGCAGTTCAGTGACATGGCCACCCCATAAGAGGTTGACTGTACAGATTTCCCTTCATCACAAGCCGTCTGCCTCTCCTTCTGGGCTCAGGAGCAAGCTACAGCTTAGACACTGGCAGCTTGTAACTGAATGCTGAGGATTCCTTGCACTGAAAATACTAGTAGTCTTTGAATCAGTGCTAGAGTGCCTGAGCATGAAGAACACAAACTAAGAGGCACAAGATGTGTCTGTCCATGTTAGTGCAGAAATATTCTGTGTAGGTGCATAAAATGTGCATCTGTCCCAGCACAATGTTACCTTGTGGAAGTATGCAAGTCCATCAGCTCCAAAGTAAAGTGTTGAAGGGCTGAAGTGGTGTCTACATTGGACTGAGAGCAGGACTCATGGTTTGGTGAGTTGGGTGGTTTGTCAGTGCTGCTTTGCATGGGTGAAGTGTTGAGGAGGCTAGTAGTGACCGTGGAATATACAGGCACATTCTGCGGAAGAAACAGCTGTACGTTGGCCAGGTCACAGCCGTGGGCGACACAGTGCTCCCAATTTGTATATTCTCACGTTAAACAGAGCAGGTGGGCAGCACAGTGGCTCACTGGTTAGCACTGTTGCCTCACAGTGCCAGGACCTGGGTTCGATTCCACTTTTGGCTGGCTGACTGTGTGTATAGTTTGCACATTCTCCCCATGTCTGTGTGGGTTTCCTCTGTATGCTGTCGTTTCATCTCTCAATCCAAAGATATGCAGGTTGGGTAGATTGGCCATGCTAAATTGCCCTCAGTATCTAGATATATTCAGGCTAGATGGAATAGCTGTGGGAGCGCAAAGTTATGGGGAATTAGGTGGGATGCTCCTCAGAGGGTGGGTGCAGACTTGGTGAGCTGAATGGCTTCTTTCCACATTGTGCTGTCTAATTTCTCAGTGGAGAAGCAGAGAATGGAAGGTGGAAAGTAAGTCAGGCAAGTTGTTGCTTCAAGAGGTTGCAAATGCATGGAAATAAGGTTGACCCACTGAAGGGTGAAATTCAGAAGTCTCCGTTTACAGCTTGAGGGGAAAATTGAGAAAAGCTTTTCTCAAAGTTGAGGATCTGCTTTTTTTTTTGCATTCTCCCCCTATTTTGCCACCATATCTGCCATTAATCTCACCACAGCAAAGAGGGGAAATCTCACCCTCTGTCTTAACAAAGATCTGGATTTGTGATTTAAAATCCAGCATGTAGACTGTAGAATTAGTTTAAATTATAGATCTCAAAGTTTAATTTTTAGGTGATTTTAAAAAGCAGCAGGATGATTTTCTGTATGTTATTGGTTTGTTCAAATTGGGGTTTGATTGTTAGCACCACACAGCAGGAGTTTAAAACAGCACTTCCAGATCTGTGACAGCAGAGGGCAGACTGGACCATGGTACTCAAACCTGTCGAGTCACCCACTATATTAACTCAACACATGGTCCAATGGGTTGATTGGTTCATATATTTAATCAACAAAGGGCCAAGGTTTCTGAAGATATCTATCTTGAATATGGACTGGATGCAGTCATGGTGGGAGTGGCAGTATTTTGGACATTTAAATTCTCTCTTCACTACTTTCATTCTGCCACCAGACCTTTCTCTGTGAGGAATTGACTCTCACAGAGTCGGAAATCAGGGCAACAAAGTTGAGTTGTATCCACGCCTAGAAAATACCATTTCAAAACAGGAAGTACAGTTAATTCCTCGGCAAACTGAAGGAGGCTGCTGAAAGGAAGTTGATAAGACTGGGCTAATAAATGGCATTTGGGATTCCGGGCTGGCAAATGAGGGAGGTGATGGATTTTGCTTAAGTTAATAATTGTAATAATACTATGAATGGAAGTAGGGTCAGTGCTTTGGATTTATTTGTTTTTAAGGATGTTGATGTCACTAGCTGAGCTAGCATTTTTCACCCATTCATAATCCTTCTTGAGAAGGTGGGGGTGAGCCGCCATCTTGAACCGCTGCTGTCTGTGTGTTGTAAGTTGACCTACAATGCCCTTAAAATGGGAGTTCCAGGACTTTGACCCAGTGATGCTGAAGGAATGGTGATACATTTGCAAGTCAGGATGGTGAGAGGCTTGGAGGGGAATTTGAAATTGATTGCGTTCCCATATAGCTGCTGTCCTTGTTCTTCCAGAGGGGAGCAGTCATAGGCTTAGAAGGTGCTGTCTAAGGAGGCTTGGTTAGTTGCTGCAGTTGGTACAAACAGTTGCTACTAAGCATCAGTGGTGATGGGAGTGAATGTTGACAGTGGTGGATAGGGTGCCTCCTTCGTCCTGGATGGTGTCAAGCTTCTTGAGTGTTGTTGGACCTGCACGCATTCAGGCAAGTGGGGAGTATCCACCACACTCCTGACTTGTGCCTTGTAGATGATGGATAGGCTCTGGGGAGTCAAGAGTCATTTCAGAGTTCCTGGCCTCTGACCTGCTCTTGTAGACATAGTGCTTACATGGCTGCTCCAGTGAAGCTAGAAGGAGCATTGGAATTTAAGCTTAGGATGTTATACGTAACAGCTCAGGTTGGTAAGGCCAGAAAAGAAAGGGATAGAACTGTTTTACCTTGAGAGCTAAGAAATGTAACGCAAATGATAACTTCCTCCAGTTTTGTTGATAGTTTAATGAGCTGAAGGGTTGGATTTTCACAGAGACCCTATTTCTGACATCTAGTTTTTTGCTGGAGTGGGGGGGAAGGAACTGATGCAGCTCACACAGGAGACAATCCCAAACATAGCAGAGCCATTTGAATGCAGTGCTGTGTTTGAACAGACACCATTTTAGCTCTTGCAAGCGTCTTCATGCACAATGTGGGAGCCACGAAATTCATGGAATCAATGTAAATATTCTTGAAAGGCAGGTTAGGTTTATATAAATCTAATGGTCCCTAAAATTTTAAATGCTTTGCTGCTTAAACTTACAAAAAACAGGCTGTAGTTGTCAGTGAGAGTTAAAATAAAAGCTGTCTATTGGACTGCTTTGATTGACAGGCATGGTTTGGAAAAGCAATTGGGCATTTTTAATAGAACTAATAGTTGAATCTTTCCAAACAGCTAGCATTATGCCATTATGAATGCTTGGCTGAGTTACAAAAGTTAGTTATCTAAGCAGAGGTTTTTGAGATCACAGATTAATTGACAATTTAAAGATACTATTAAAGCCTAGCTGCATAGAAGTTTGTTTTTGTAAAAGGGGATTTAAAAACTTTGTGAATGAGCTTAATGATTGTACACTACACTGTGGGATAAAAAAATCCAATGAAATCTGTGCTAGATTTTTATAAGTGTTTTTTAATTCCATTGGCTCTTGACATCTGTCATCTGGTGGACGACGGGTAAGTGGCTATAGGGACGACATGAGGGGCTGTGGGGGCTTGATGAGTTGGCATGTAGTGTATGCAGGACCACGCCAGGGAGGAGTAAGGATGATTTAGCGTTGAGTTGGCACGCAGGGTATGAATAGCCATGAGGCAATGTGCTGGTGGGGAGGGTTGGGAGGTGAAAGGGTTTTGTGTGAGGGTAGGGGTGGGAGGGACCCAAAGGACCTAAATCATTTGAAAGGTCTCAGAGCAGCAAGGCAATGTATAAAATGTGATGTCCATGTTCTTGTGAGTCATGATATACAGGCTTTATTAAACCTAACTAATTACAAGGCTCATGCTGCCGAAATATTATGAACTCAGTGGGCCCAATGCTATCCCAATCATAGCTCCTGGAAGTGAAGCTTACTCATTCTGTGGTACTTTTTACCAGAGTGAGTCCAGCTAGTCAGGAAATTTACTGACTTAAGCTACCGACCTCATTAATCGCGTACACCAGCCCTAACGCGCAGACTGTCTCTCTCTCTCTCCCCCCGCCTCACTGCACCCTCTCTTCAGAAGTGCCGCCCAGCCTGCTGAGCATTATCTGCACTTTCTGTTTTCACATTTAAAAAGGATTTCTTTTTGTTTTCCAGGGTCAATAACATTCAATTCAAGCAGTCAGTGCCAATCTTGTGGATCAAAGGCTTCATCGAATCCTTATCTTACTACCAAGCATTTCAGAAGAAGGATCCAGAAGTGGCTAAAGCCACTCTCGAAAGAATGGAGCGAGAGTAAGGGTAATCGTGGAATTGGGAATTTAATTGAGCAGCTTGAATGATCAAGTAGATCAGGATTTGGGCACAGTAAGACCAATGGGGCAACTCCGTGAATGTTGGGAACAACAATCTCCATCCTGTCACACCTCTCTGGGATAGTGCACTGGAAATCAAGCTCCACTGTTCTCGGAGTCGTCACAGAAGTTAAGGATTTGTAAAAGTGTACAAAATTCCCCAATGTCTCCTAGACACAGCTTAATAGAAAACATGGAACCAGGTTTCTGTACTTAAAAATTTAGTACAAGTAAATAGATTCCAGCTACAGGTAAACAGTTATGAACTGTCGGCATATAACTACTAATTCAAACTTATACATTCCCCCTTACACACAGACAAATATAGGCAGGGGAACAATAAAACGCAGGTTAAGAATGGAAGGAAATCTGGGACACCAGTTGGTGATCTTTGTTCATAGAACCTGTTGCGATGATTCTCCTGTTGATCAAAATGTTGCTTCTTAGTCATCCTTTTTCCAGTTACTTTCACTGGTTTGCAAAAGACGCAGGGTGCCTGTTCACTAATGAAAGGTCTCTGCCTTACTGACTAAAATTTACAGCTTACAGCAACTGCTGAAGGAAAGATAAACTGGCTTTCTTCAGACTTAAAGTGGCTTTTTTTTAAATTTCAAAAATATACTTAAATTCATAAAATATCTTTGTATGTATGCATTGACACAAAAGCAGTTTGGTTCTGCACAGTTGCATATCAAGTAAACACAAAACGTTGCAGTTGACTATACACAAAACCAAAGACCTCTCTTACACATAGAATACTAATATTTACGTATTTGACACATTAGGATATTCCAATAACTGAATGGACCTCCATTTACTTTCAGCAGGAAGATCTCAGACCGTGGTCTTTGCCCACTGCCCCTTGGTCCCATTGCCTGATATGATAGGACATCCAGGTGTGTTAGCTTTGTGTGTCTTCGGAAGGCAGTGGAAGTCTCCAAGGTGAGAAGTATGCAGGAGGAGAGTGCAAAGGATACTCTGAAGGTCTGGATCAAAAGTCTTGATCAGTCTGTTGAGTTGACCGGTGTGTTCTTTGGTCAGATTGGCAGGTAGTTGTCTGTAGTGTTCCTGGTTGTTCAGTTGTTGGTAAGCTTCTTTGCAGTAGTCTGTTCTATTCTGTGTGACGATGGCTCCTCCTTTGTCTGCTGATTTGATGATGGTGTTGCAATTGGTCTTGAGAGCATGGTTGGCATTGCATTGTGCCTGGGTGACATTCTGCGCTATCTTGTGAGCATGGTTGATGGATCTTCGACAACCAGTTCTTCATCCGGACCCATGGAACAGCCATGGGGACTAAATTTGCATCCCGATATACCAACATTTTCTTGTACAAGTTCAAGCAAGACCTCTTTACTGTGCAGGATTTGTGACCAACGCTATACACCAGATACATTGACAACATTTTCTTCCTTTGGACTCATGACGAGGAATCACTGAAATGACTACATAGCAATATCAACAAGTTTCATCCCACTGTTCGAATTACCATGGACCACTCTTAAGAATCAGTCTCTTTCTTGGACAGGCATCTCCATCAAGGACGGAGACTTCAGTACCTCTCGCGCAAACCCACAGATAACCTCACCTCTCTAGCTTCCACCCTAAACATATTCAAGAAGCTATCCCCTATGGACAAGTCCTGTGCATACACAGGATCTGCTTAGATGAGAAGGAATGCGATGGACACCTAAAGATTTTGAGGCATACCCTCCTAAACATGGGATACGATGCTGAACTCGTCGATCGCCAGTTACGATGTGCCTCAATGTCCTCCTCAGCAGATAGACACCGGATACGACTGATAGAGTACCCTTCATTGTCTAGTACTTCCCCAGAGCGAAGAGAGTACACCACGTTCTTCACAGCCTACAAACATGACGACAAGTATCTTGCCAAGATCATTCCTACGTCTCCACTTCTCGCCTTCAAACAACCACTAAACTTTAAACAGACCATCGTTCGCAGCAAACTACCCAGCCTACAGGACAACATCGACCACAATACCACACAAGCCTGCCATTGCAACTTCTGCAAGACCTGTCCGATTATCAAAACTGATATTACCATCACACGTGGGAACACCACCCACCACAAACATGGCAGATACTCGTGTGTCTCAGCCAATGTTGTTTATCTCGTAGATATCATAGAATCCCTACAGTGTAGAAACAGGCCCGTCGGCCCAACAAGTCAACACCAACCCTCTGAAGACCATCTCATCCTTTCCCTGTAACCCTCCGTTTCTAGTGGCTAACACACCTAATCTACACATCCCTGAATACATTGGGCAATTTAGCATGGCCAATTCACCTAGCCTGCACATGTTTGAACTGTGGGAGAAAACCAGGGCATCTGGCTAAAACCCACACAGACATGTGCAAACTAAACACAGTTACCTGAGGGTGGAATCAATCCTTGGTCCCTGGCACTGTGAGGCAGCGGTGCTAACCACTGAGCCACTGTGCTGCCCAGGCATGGTATATTGGTGAGACCATGCAAACACTATGACAACGGATGAATGGACATCGCACAACAATCGCCAGACAGGAATGTTCCCTCCCAGTTGGGAAACACTTTAGCAGTCGAGGACATTCAGCCTCCAATCTTCAGTTATCTCAAAGGCCACTTTGAGATAAGAATGCAGAATTGCTGTGCAGAAACTGATAGCCAAGTACCCATGAAGATGACCTCAACCATGTTTTCTGGTTCATGTTGCGCTACATACGACCCCACCACACTGTTCTATACCTGTAAAATCTTCCTCACTGTTCTGTTTTGTCACCATCACCTGGATAAATTGTTATGATCTCTCTACCTTAATTAGTTTATACAGTTTTGGATTACTTATTACTTTGGTTAGACCCTTGGCGTGCGACTCTTATACCTATTTATGTTATTCCAGTCATTTAGTTTGTCTCTACACCAATTAACTACAAAAAATTAAAAATAATCTCTCTGCCTCGTTGAGTTGCATTATAGGTCATCCTTTCATTTGTTATTCAGCTGTTAACACTTTTTACTCTCACTGTCTAATGCTCTTGGTAACTTGCAGAGACTTAGTATCTGAAACTCCATTCACACAAGTTGTATGACCTTTTGATCTCTCTGCCTATAAATTCTGTGTCTCACTGCCCTCTCTCACTTCACCTGATAAAAGGGCTGCATCCTGAAAGTTTGTGATTTCAAATAAACCTGTTGGACTGTAACCTGATGTCGTGTGACTTCTGACTTCTGCACAAACAGTGTTCACAGTGAAAGTGTTATATTACTTACTTTCGTACCATGCAGCAATCCTTGCAATCTCTGGTTTTAAAATAGGTCTTTTCTCATTTCAGTCCTGATTTTTAAAAAAAAAACACATCAAAAGAAAAGAAATGGTCTTTACATTCCTGATCTTAATATGATTTAACAATTGAGGAAGAAACAGGGGAATGGAAAATGAGTGCAATCAGGTACATTAAGAGTGTGAACAAACAAGAACACAAAAGATCGCAGCAAGGTTATACCACAAAGTGCATGAAGCTTGCTCCACCGTTCAATACGATTAAGGTTTGACTTCCCTCCCTCCTCCCTGTATCCCTCAATTCCCATGGCAATCAAAAATCTGCGAATCACAGCCTTAAAAATAATACAGAGTATCCAAAAGCCTTTAGGATAGAGAATTCCAACAATTCCCTTCCCTTTGAGTGAAGAAATTTCTCCTCCTCTCAGTCTTGAATGATATCTCCTTAGTCCTGAGATTATGTGCCCCAGTTCCAGGTTCCCCAACAAGGGGAAGGAAACGATGTCTCAGTATCCAGCCCTGACTAGACCCATCGTCACCTTCAGTGCATCAATAAGGTTACCTCATTCTTCTAAACTGCAACAAATATAGTCTTGATTCACTCAGTCTCTCATCGTAGGGTGACCTTTTCACCTCAGGGACCAATTAATCTACCCCCTCAAGCCCACGATATTCTTCCCTAGAGATGGGGGTGAATTTTGCAACCGTTGTCAAGCTGCAGGCCTTGCTGTGCTTTAATAAAGATGTGGAACGTTATCAGTTTCTCAGTATGTTCCAGTCCATATTACATTAGACAACCAAATGTATTTTCCAGACATTTCAATACAGTGGGCATGAAACTCATGACATTTTTATTTCTTTTTAGTGTTTTGCAGACTATGGGAGTTTCTTCCAGGGAGACTATGTTGGAAGTGAAGTGGACTGCTTTCTGCCTACTGGCAAGCAAACCTGAGTGATATCTGCAACAATGTTTCTCGGACCAATTGCATCAAGAGATAATTTCACCTGCCTTAAGTAAGACATTAAATCTGGGTTTCACAATGGGGGCGTTTGTGGTTAGTGGTTTGTACATAGTTGTGACACATTGGATGGGGGAGTATTCAACTTCAGCAGTAGCACAGGGCAGTATGCAATTGAGAGCCTGATAGAAATCCTACTCATTCTCCTATTCATTTGAGGGTTGATTACTCTTGCAGGAGTTAGGGTTTGAGTTCACACGCACATTCCCTGTTTATGAAACATAATTGAGGGACTCCTCATTTCTGCCCAGGACCGTAAGAAACTACAGAGTAGTGAATACAGGCCAGTCAATCATGCAAACCAGCCTTCCATCCATTGACTCCATCTATACTTCCTGCTGCCTCGGTAAGCAACCAATATAATCAAAGACCCCTCCCAATGCGGTTATAATCTCTTCCAACCTCTTCCATCAGGGAGAAGATACAAAGGCTTAACCACATGTACCAACAGAGTCAAGAACAGCTTTTTCCTGTCTATTGTTAGACTTCCAAACTGAGTTCTCAAATTTTAAATTTAACATTGATCTCATTCTTTGTGCATCTTCTCTGCAGCCATAACATTGTTTTCCTTGCTCTGCTTTATTACCCTAATACGCTTTGTATGGTATGATCTGCTTGTACTGCATGCAAAACAAAACTTATCACTGTACCTAGGTACATGTGACAATAATAAATCAAACCAAATCAAATCATTACTCAGGCAAGACCTTTGTGAAGAGTTAGGATTCTATTGTATAGTTAGACAATTTCTCATTGCAATTTCTCATAGCTCACTTTGTATAAACCTGCCAGAATCACAGTGGAGATTTATATCAGATCAAAACAGGAATCCTGACAAAGGGTTTTGGCCTGAAACTTTGACTTCCCTGCTCCTCTGATGCTTTCTGACCTGCTGTGCTTTTCCAGCTTCCCACCAACAGACCCAGAATTGGAGGGAACCCACTTCCCCAGAGCCACCCCTCATCCTCCCCGATTCTCCCACTGTTAAACCCTTTGCTGAATCACCTAAATACTGTCTCTCCTGCCAACACACTGGCATGGGAGGTTGGTGCCACTCATGATTTGTGTGCCAGTTGTTGCTGCCCCTCACTTGCTGCCGCATTCTCCTCCGTGTCCCACCTCATGACGTCACCAATGCCCAGATTCCCATTGTCTGGTTCCTTGGCTCTTTCAGGGAGTGAGGGTGGAGGTGAGGCAGCAGGCAGCTTGAGGGGTTGGCAGTAGGCCAGTGATTGCAGGCTTCCATAACATTGTTCTTTGATGTCAGCATCAATCCTGCGACTGAGTGAGGGAGGTGATCATGTCTGGGTGGATTGCATAATTCAGAGAAATGACTGCACTGTCCTGATATGGGAATGTTTTTTCTGTGCATTCAGATACAGACCTGTGAAAACAAGCTTTAAATTCATCAAGTGGATACAGAGTCCACTTGTTTATCTGTATATACGTTTAATTTACAATGCAACACAGAATTTGGGAATGTTGGATGCTTCAGGAACCAATTGATCTCCTAGAACTCAAAATGTCCTTTTCCGTAGTTATGGTAGAATTTTATGGTCTTTTAGATTTTTAGGTAAATTAAAGCATAGGCAGACACCTTGACATCTTTCTGTTTTCATTCATACCATCACAGTGACATTAAAATGCAAGATGTCGATTGAGTTGTGAAAAATCATAGCTTCTGTGATAAATTGCAAATCACTTCAAAATGACTCCAGTGTGAAAGAGTTCCTTGCCCTTTTTTTTGGTACAGTTACCACCTGGATTTGTGTAACAGCGATTAATTGTGAGTTTTGAACTGCATCAAGTCTGGTTGAAGACAGCCATATTGTCAGGAGCCCAGGAAGAACTTTGAGGCACACCACTAAAGAGAGTTCTTGGCCATGGGAGGCAAAAAGGAAGGAATCGGAAATCATCTGTCCTATCAAGAGATCAGGCAATCTGCAAGTGCTATAACTCCAGAACTAGTGAGGAATAAGTAACCTCCCTCTCTCCTCCTGAGCTCTTCTGTACAGGAAAATATTGATTATTTGACTATAGAAGCCATTGAATCTACTCAATCTGCCTTCAAGTGTCAGCTATTTCAATTCAGAATGAGAAATTTCAAGAGGAAACAGACCTGCATCATTTATAGAGATTGATCTTACCTTCATCATTGTAATTACCTTTCAACTTTACCTCCTGTTAATCTTTATAAATGTATTTTTAGTTAATAGCCTTATCACTTTTACTTGAATAATTAGAACAGTAGTTTTGTCTAAATAAACTAATCTTTGTCTTGTTCAAGTTTAAAGTATTGATGCTGGTTATTTTCAAATTAACTCAGAAATTCAAAGGGGGCCACACACATACACAAATTCTTATGCTCATGTACTACTTTGAAGAATACCTTTTATCTGATCATGACATTTGGGCACACTCTGGGGAATCTGACAATTCAGTGAACTCGTACTACTCTGTATACAAGAATGAGCTCGAAGCAGGTGAATGAAGATAAAGAGGGTTTGAGTGTGGAAAACAAGTTGATCAGGTTACACAATAAACAAAATTAGATATATTCTATCCAGCTTCAGGTAGATACATTGATAAAATCAGGGGTCAGTGTGGGACACCCAAGGATTTAGTGTGGGAGACCCTGGGGTTCAGTGAGAGAAACCCCATATTCCATTGTGGGAGATCCCATGGTCCATTACAGGAGACCCCAGGGTTCAGTGAAAGAGATCCAGGGTTTAGTGAGAAAGACCCTAGAGTTCAGTGTGGGAGACCCCAGGATTCAGTGAGAGGGACTACAGGGTTCAGCCTGAGAGACCCTGGGGTTCAGTATGTGATATTCCACTCCAACAGTGGTGCAGCCATTTTCTTCTCCATTACGCCACTTTGATTTCCAGTGTGATGGAAGGTGACCACGAGCTCTCCCCTGCCAGTAGCTTCCAGCCTCAGTGTGGGCGGGGATATCCATATTTCCTTCCCACTGTCTCATCCCATTGACCTACAGGCTTCACATGGCCACTTAAGTGTCCCACCCCACTCCCAAACTGTGTATCTGTCTAAACTGCCCTACCTTCCCATCCTGCCCCTCTCAGGCCTGATGTGGTCATTCACTCACCTACCCCCACCCCATCACTTGGAGCTAAGCTACTACTGACCATGTTCAACACTCCCACCTCCACATTACACCCCAACGCATGCTTTACTGTATCACCCCCACCCCTTGCAAATCCTGCTCCCCTTCCCCATCCGGCTCTCCATAATTGTACTGTGCCCTTGCCCAGAGCTTGCAGCCACACGTCCGAAAGACTAACTTGCTGAGGCTCACACCCTCCCCCACAGTGCCCCATTCAGTTTCTGTGGTCAGATGTGACAGACTGACTGTGGCCCATCCCCTCAAGCAACATGATCAGACAGTCCGAGGGTTAGACATACCCAGACCCTCCTGGCTGGTGCCTGTCGATCTCCCCAGCCATTTAACTTCATGCTTGCTGCTACAGAGCCAATATACTGACTGGGACCCAATCCCCCAACTGAACAGACACGGACACCTGACTGAGAACACCCTGACTGGATGCCTGACCACGACTGGTACGGGAGGGTACCCCTGACTGACGTATGCCTCCATGGACTTGTGTGAGGGTGACTCACCTGAGACTTTGTGACCTGGCTCCTTCCTTGCTGCACAGGCACTGTGTTCACTGTGTAAGCTACTGACATAGGGAACAAGGATGAGATTGACTAGCACCATTGTGGTTCTGCAAGATGTTCATCCCTTAGACTGAGGACTGCTTGGCAGCAAGGGCAGCTGCCTGTTTTTGTAATGCCCACTAATTGGCACTGTGATGCAAGGCCAGACAAGGCTACTGTGAGCATGCTGGTAAGGCGCTAAATGAGCTAACATTATGAGAGCCAACAAGCACCTCTGAGATGCAGCCTAGTCCAGTCTGCAAGCTGTATGCTAAGTGTCACTGCTACGGCCTTTCAATGCCATTCGTGAAAAGTGTGAAAGATGGAACAGGTAATCTTTAGGTTGAGAAGGGGCCTCTTTGTGTCTGTTTCCTCCCCACATTTTCCTATTGCCCATGTTGCTAAAATTCCACCCATAGAAACATAGAAAATAGAAGCAGGAGTAGGCCATTCAGCCCATTGAACCTGCTCCACCATTCAACATGATCATAGCAGATCCTGTATCTCAAAATCAGATTCCTACTGTCTCCTCAAACACCTTGATGCCTTTAGCTTCTGGAAATGTATCTATTTCTTTCTTGAATAGATTAGTAACTTCCACATCTTTCTGCGGTAGACAACGTCACAGGTTCAGCATCCTCTAGGTGAAGAGATTTCTCCTTATCTTTGCTTTTTCCACCAGAGAATGCAGTTTCTTTCCATCTACCTATTAAAACCCCAAATTTTAAGCATCTCTGTAAGATTATGTCTCAACCGTCTAGACTCAAGGGAGTGCAGGCCAGGTTCACACAACCTATTGTCATTAACCCTTTAAGCTGTTGTGAATCTGAGCTGCACTCCTCCAAAGTAGGTCCAAAAATGCACAAGCGCTTCCTGTTTGCTGTCTCTGTCTAGATTCTTCACGATTTGAACAGCTCTGTCAATCCTCTCAACCTTCTTTTCAAATGACACATTTTTGATCTCATAATGTCCTTATGCCAGTAGGTGGCACTATTGACTTGAGTACAAATATTTCCATTCAGAACACAATTAAGATGTAGACATCAGAGATAGTAAGAACTGCCGATGCTGGAGTCAGAGATAACACAGTGTGGAGCTAGTGGAGTACAGCAGGCCAGGCAGCATCAGAGGAGCAGGAAAGTTGACATTTCATGTCGGGACCCTTCTTCAAAATTTTTCAAAACCGAAACGTCAACTTTCCTGCTCCTCTGATGCTGCCTGGTCTGCTGTGCTCCTCCAGTTCCACACTGTGTTATATCTAAGATGTAGGCATGCTGCCTATTAAGGGTGGAAGACTGAAGATTAATTTTGTAGATCTCTGTTACTTTCAGAGTTAAACAAAGTCAAAATTAACCAAGTAACACAATGGTTAGTAAAGTTTACCATATTGGTCTACAATATTGTCTTTTGTAATACTTTCTTGCGTCACTTGCTGTAAGATTCTTTCACCAGTTTATTTTAAATATAATTCTTTAAACATTTTTTATAAGTAGTTTTAATTCGAGGCACTGAGACCTGTTAACTTCCGAGCTGACTGAAATGTTAATATTATCACTAGTTTTTCAAATTACTTTGTGTCTTTTTTCTCCCAATCTCTACAAACCTCCTCCAGACCCACAACCCTCCAAAATCTCTTGTGCTCGTTTATTTCTGGTGTCTTGATCAAACCTGATATTTGTTGCTGATGTAATCGCGAATAGTTTTATACATTGGTTAGGCCACAGCTGGAGTTCTGTTGCTTATGATGCACGATGCATTCTGATGCATATAGAACGCATGAGCAAGGGCCACCAAGACTGATACACCTGCTCCAAATACAAAATATTGACCAGTTTCCTGATTACCCACCTTTTGAATAATATTTATTCTTAGGATATGTATATTGTTAGCAAGGTCGTCGATTATTGCCTATCCCAAATTTTTCTTGAGAAGACAGCAGTGAGTTGACTCCTCAAACTGTCACAGTCCATGTGGTGTAGGTACACCCACAGTACTTAGGAAGCGAGTTCTTGCATTTTGACCTAGTGGCACTGAAGGAATGGTGATATATTTCCAAGTCAAGATGGTGAAGGGCACGGAGGAGAGTTCAGAGATGGTGGTGTTACCAGGCCTTGAGATTATCGGCATTCCTTTTCCCAGTTCGTTTTCCATACTTCCTCTTGTCAACGGGTGTTCTCAAAGAATTGTGGTCCTTCCTACAGTGGTTTCCTCGGAGTCAATTTCTTCTGAACTAGGATCTCCTATGCATTGACATCTATGTTGCATTTCTTAAGGACAGCCTTCAGGGAGCCTTTGAAACACTTTTTTTGATTCACCCCCACCCCGCCCCTACTCAAGTACCTTCCTTGAAGTGGGTGAAGGTGATTTGCTTTGGTAGTTGGAACACAGGCAGCCTAAGCTCATGGCCAGCCCAGCAGAGTTGGTTTTGAATGGTCATAGCCTTGATGCTAGTAATTTTGGCTGCTTCAAGGATGCTGGTGTTAGTATGCCTGCTATGCCATCTGATACAGAGAATCCATCTCAAACAACATTGATGGTACTTCATAGAGGTTGTGAGGCGGTGTCTATACGTACCCCAGGTTTTGGAGCCATGTAAAAAAGTCAGAAGGATGACAACCTGACACAAAGATCTTGGTATTAGAACTGACTCATCCTTAGGCATCTGAAAGTGGTGCCTGTGGATTGGATTTGTTGTTGAATCACAGCATCAATATCAGCCTTAAATGAGAGGTAGCTTCCCAGGTAAGGGAAATGCTCCAAGTTTAGGAGGATTTCTTCATTGATCCTAATGATGGGATGGACTGGAACTTGACTTGGGACAGGTTGGTCCTTTACCAACCTTTAAGAATGACCTTAAAAGGAAAGAAATGTAACTTGTAATTTGAAGGCTCTTCTGAAGTAAACTTTCAAGTTAAGTGCTCCCAAGCCAGAAACATATATACCATAACCACAGCCTCATTGTTAGTTGACAGTCAATTGTGATAGCTACCATCAATAATGATAAGCTGCATCAATGGATTACCACTTTGGGCATTCATTAGCAATACTACAGTTAACGCTGATGGAACTGTTGCCCCTTCACTGGGAAATTTATACCGTAATTATATTCATAGTGAATCAATATCAATATCATGTAGCACAGGGGACCATTTGCAACATTGTATCTGTTGGCTTTTGGAGCTATGCAAATCCTTTTCTTCTCCATAGCTCAGCACATTTTCCCTTGTCAAGCAAGTATCCAATACCCTTTTTGAAAATTATTATTGAATCTAGGTGAATTGGCAATCACAACAGCTTACTATCTAAGAAAACATCTCCTCATCTTCCCTCTGGTTCTTTGACAAATTAATGAAAATCTGTGTCCTCTGTTAACCATCAATGGAAACAGCTTGCCCTTACTTACTTATTTTGTCTTTCTTTAAAAATGAAGTTATCCACCATGGTAGGAAAGACAAATGTGGAGTACTTATATGGTGAGAAATTGGGAAACGTTGATGTCCAAAGAGACAAGGGTGTTCTTGTTCATGAGTCACTGAAAGCTAGCATGTACACTCAACAAGCAAGCCAGGAAGACAAGTGGCATGTTGGCCTTAATTACAAGATAGTTTGCATAAAGGTCTTACTGCAATTGTAGAGAAGCTTGGTGAGACCACACGTTTAGCATTGTGGGCAGCCAGCAATGGGATCAGGGAGCATAGGTAAGTAAAGAATGTGGTTGGATGCTACAAGATTTATTTCTCCCAGAAGGCTGCAGAACAGATTACTGATGATTATGTGAGCCTTTTTTAAAAAATGGACCTTATAATTTCTAGAGGGAAGAAGCCATTTTTGTTGACATTGGAATGTGGGAGTTGCTCCCCTTTACTTCGAGATGCACCACATCATAATCATAGTCTCCCAAAGCTTGTTTTGATGCCTTAGGGCATAAGTTATGAATCTTCCAGCAGTTTCCACTGACATTTGTTGTAGAGGACAGAATTTTACCCACAATTGGCCAAGTGTCAATTTTGGGTTGAGCGGGATTCATGGAAGGTTTCACTCTGTGATCTCTAGTGAGTTGTCTCATGTGATTCTCTGCTGCTCACCTCATGTACTTGCCACACCGCTATGCAGCTGTGTTCTAGCTATCGTGCATTTACCAGTCAAGGAAGTGCCCACCATGGACAGGACCTTCCTGGATTCACACCACTGGAACCATATTTAACTCCCTCCTTTGCACCAGTTCAAACACTGCAAGCCGGGAATAGCCTGTTACAGGTGCAGGATTGATTCTCACCTCTTATGAATCCAAAGACCCAGGTAATGTACTGGGTTTGAATCCTGCCATGGCAGATGGTGGAAGTTGAATTCAATAAACTTCTGAGATCAGGAGTCTAATGATGAATCCATTTCCCATTGTCAGGAAAAATCTCATTCAGTAATGTCCTTTAGGGAAGAAAACTGCCATCCTCACCTAATCTGGCCTACATGTGACTCCAGACACACAGCAAACACTTAATTGCCCTCAGGGCAATCAGGGATAGGCAATAAATGCTGGCTTAGCCAGCGATGCCCACATCCTATAACTGAATAAAAATAAAGCTACAGCTTCATGGACTGAATCATAGGCTCAGCTTCTCAAGTTTTTTTCTGCCTTGTCCTCCCTGACAACCGCATTGGGTTCGATTTCCATATGGCCCCACCTAGCTCCTTTGTTTAACTCTTCATCTCCTCACTTTACCCAAGTCCCAGGCATGCAGCTTAGTCATGACATCATTGTCTCCCACTGAAGCCAAGGTGGTGGTGACCATCAATGACCCACCTTCCACAGTACTTCCTGCTCTCCCATCTGACCCACCCCTTATAGATTGGTTTGTCTCCTTTCAATAACATTGTTCCCTCTGCATGACAGCCTGCTGCTTCGAATCCCCACAAGTGACTACCTCCCCACTAGGAATGACTGGCTGAAACCCCCAAACAACTAGAAAGGACAGTACCTACTGATGGCTGACCAGACCCCTGAATTATAAGGAGAGGCTAGATAGATGGGACTTCTTTCACTGGAGCATTAAGAGGTTGAGGGGGCGACCTTATAGAGGTTTATAAAATCGTGAGGGTTATAGATAAGGTGAATGGCAGGTGTCTTTTCCCTAGGGTGGGGGATTTCATGACTATGGAGCATATTTTTAAGGCGAGAGGAAAAAGATTTTAAAAAGAGATGAGGTGCAATTTTTTTTTACACACAGAGTGGTTCGCGTGTGGAATGAACTTCCAAAAGGAAGTGGTGGATGCGGGTACAGCTACATTTAAAAGATACTTAGATAAGTAAAAGGATTAAGAAATGTTTGGAAGGAAATGGGCTAAGTGCAGGCAGGTGGGACTAGTTTAGTTTGGGATTATGGTCAGCATGGACTGGGTGGACCGAAGGGTCTGTTTCTGTGATGTCTGACTCTATGACTGATATCTACCCTGCTCTGCAAATGATTTATCTCTAACTGATTGCGCTGCAGCTCAATGGCAGCTAAAGGCCCATTCCCCGACTATCATGATATGGACCTCCTGACCCTGAATATCTCAGGATGGACTGAGATCAGATGTTGTCCTTGACTAACTGTGCTGGTGCCTCCTGACAGTCCTCCAGGACTCAAATGAGGTTAGCTAGGCAGATGATGTCATTTGGTTGAAGCACATTCAGTGTCTTTGCCATGTAAGCTGCTGGCATATACTGAAGATATGAGGTTGATGTAGAACGGTGCAGCGAGGCAAAATGTCCACCTCTTGACTGATCACTGCTGACAAATGGGACGAGCTGCCTGGCTTTATCTCTGTGCTAAACGTCAAGGTGAGACAGAAGCACTGTGAGGCTGTACATTCTGAACGAGGTGCCAGTGGGCAAAAAGAGAGGAGAGGCAGAGATTCTGTGAGTATCCAAGTAGGTGCAAAGTGAGTGCGTGCTAAGAGAGAAAGCCAAGAGCCCTGAGACGTAGCCAATACATGAGCTGGGTGCTTGTCCTTGTGTGCAAGGTGTCCTGGCAGCAGCGTTGTGATGTAAGATGTCTGTGAGTTCCAAAGTGCAGTATTGAAGTGGTGTACTCTATTCTTCGGAGAAATGCCATGATGAGGTGGTGAGACTGGTGTGGGCTGATGCCAAACTCCTTGGCTGGTGGATGCGGGCAGTTGCTACCCTCAGAGCATGCCCTGAGTTTGTCATCAAATTCAGGACAAGGTGTAGGCATGGAGGAGCAAGCGGAGAGCTGGAGCTGCCAGGTACCTGCTCAGACTGCCGTATAAGGAATTATCACTGTCTAGCTTCTGTTCATTGCCTGTGAAAATAGCAAACTGCACAGAAATGAGGCAAGATTAAGTAATAATGAGATATTATTGCATGCAAATAGGTCTTTCAGTGTTTACTATTGAGATTCTCATCTTGCCATTAAAACTTGGAAAATTGGACTTCTTCTTTCATTGAGAATGCCATTTTTCTGATCTCACCATATTATCTCAACTGACTTGTCAAAGCCCTCATGGTTCAGGGGTTGGGAAGATTCCATCCAGAACTTTCTCCCCCTGCCCCTTTTCTTGTGTTTCTTTGCTTGTTCTAAAGTATCGGATTACTGATGGGTGGGAAGGAGGAAACATGAGTTCTGCTCATTAGTATCAGCAGTGGTAGGTCTAGGAGTCTTCCTGTTCTTCTCATATCTGTGTGTGTTATACATCTTCAGGATAATTGCTTTGGACAGATGATTAAACCAAGTAACACACAAGAGGTGAAACATAAATCATTGACATCATAAGATCACTGTGGGATGCTAGTTTAATTACAGTACTTCAAATGACATTGATCCCTCACACCCTCCACTGCACTCAGTATCTCCTTGCACCCTGATTAAGTCATTGACGAGCACCATCTCAACAAAACCAGGAAAACTTGAGCTAACATAAAAACTTATACGAGAAGTTAAACCAAAGCCCTTAGAGCTTTTCTTTTAATGACTCTCAACAGTGAGACACCTATTTTGAAAGAGGATTCAATAATGTGATCTATTCTTTAAACATTGAACGATTGTCATTTAGTGAACAAAGCTGTTTCGATCGTCTGTTCCAAAACATTTCTGAGGAGCTGGAGAACAGTAAATATGGCCCAATTCACAGCCTGTAACAGAACACAAAATAATTTGTCATTTTGACAGAAGAAAGTCAGTCTACTCCTGATCCAAGCATCTGTATCTAACCTAACCTATTACTGCAACCTCCCTCTCCCATTTACCTTCTTGTTTCATAAATTAATGGGTCAAAGTGAAAAATTTCTTATTCTTTTTTATGACTTGCTTGCTTAGGTCACTGATTTAAAGCTAAGAATAGTTAAAGCTTGCTGTTTTCAATGAATAATCTTTTTTTTGCACAATAACACATTAGGATAGAATAATCTTTTACCTTCTAATCATCCCCATTTTTGGTGGTATATGTTCTTCCAGTTTATTATAACCTCATCCATGTTATGCACAATTCCCAATTGAAAGTAGACTGCAACTTGCCAAGAGGAGGCCATTCAGCAAAGAAGGAATACCAGTCTACCATTGCAAGTAAGGGTGAGAGAGGATGTTCACTCTTCAACCTTTTATGTTTATGAGTCCAACCATGCCCTCCTGAGCCACTGTTGTGGAGAGCTAAGGGACATGCAGTTGCAGAAGCGGCCAACCTAACAGAGAAGGCCTTGTAGCCTGCCTGGATTGCTTGACTGCCAGCGGAGACTGTCTCTAGGCAGCTGCTCAATTCCATTCTTCCCAGCATTCACCTCCCAACAAACTCTATTAATAGGACTCATATTCAACATCCAAATGTTTCAACACACCCTCAGATTTACCACTGTTGCAAGCCATCTCTCACAGTGTGCACACTATGCTGACAATTCAATCACGATAGCTCCATCACCCAAACAAACTGTACACTGGCATGCTTCCCTTTTTTTGATGGAAAAGGTGATACACAATCAGGAGCTAATGAGAGGAGGACAGGCATGTCATGGAGGAGGGACAATGGTGGACTCTATAAGAAAGAACATCAACGAACTTAGGCCATTGGCATTGCTGAATATAAACATAAACATTAGGAACAGGAGTAGGCCACTCAGCTCCTTAGGCCTGTTCTGTCATTCAATCAGATCATGGCTGATCTGATTACTCCACATTCCCACCCACCCTGATAACATCTCACCCTTTGGTTACCAAGAATCTATCTATCCCTGCCTTAAAAATATTCAAGGACTCTACTTTCATCACCTTTTGACTCTTGACCCTCTGTGAGGAAAAAAAATCTCCTTGTCCCTGCCATAAATGGGTGATCTCTTATTTTGAAACAGAGAGCCCCAATCCCAGATTCTCTTACAAGAGGAATCTATTGAAGGTGAAAGTAACTTCGCATCTGTACCTCCTTCTCTACCACTTCTCCCTTATCTCTAATTCTACTCAGGCTTACAGGTTGCAGGTGGTATAAGTATGTACTTCCGAATTCTTTCTGACCTGTCACCACGCCCAACATTTGCCCCATTTCATTTTAATTACCCAAGAACTGCAACCTGAGTGGGAACAGCAAGAGGGGAGAGAAGAAGGTAAAGACAGACTGTCACTTAATTTCAGAATAGTAGCCACCAATTCAAAGACTAATATTGCAGGTAATTTAAGAGGCTTGTTTAGAGGTGAGATCTACACAAAGTGATATTTCGCACACAAAAATGGAGGAGTGAGGCTGGAGATGGGGGAAGGATAGCACAGATACCAACTCACTGGCGGATGAGTTTCCACATTAGTTCTGCTGCAGACACTTCAGGTGAGTGTCTCAAAGAACCAGGCTACAGGAGGTTGATGTGTGTATATACTTGGTACACTGAAAAGTCTGTCAGAAAACCTGGTTTGAAGATAAATGAGCATGGGAAATATGGCTTTGGATGGGCTGTATATAGATCTTGGAACCCATCCTTTTCAATGTGGAAATGGCAGTCACCTCCATCAATAGACTCATGGTGCCAACCATGACGTACTATCTAATGTTAATGTCTCAGCTTCCATTGCAGCCTAATGTCTGTGTGCTGCAGTGAAATCTCAGCTTGCTTTTATGGAAATTCGAACTCCTGCCATTGTGGCTCAGTGTGCAAAGGGGCTACTTGGTCATAGCAGCATTTCTGCAATTTCCTCTTCATAGATCTGCTTTTTATAGTCCTTTATAGTCCAGCTTGACAGCCCTTCCCCATCTCCATCTTCCAGCAACTTGTGCTGCTCTGCGCATTCCACTAGTCATGATCAATGCCCATGCGAAGTCCTAAAGGCCCCAGCCCTTGTCTGAAACTAACTATGTAGCCAAGCCAACACACGACCGTAGGAAGATCTTCAGTGTCAGCTGGGCCACTGCTCTTGAATTTTTTTAACAAGTATGGAAAAACACATATAATGTGCAGAATTGCAGCAAAAGCTAGTATAAATAAGTGCAGCAACTGGCCTGTAAGTAAGATGATGATTTCTTTAAATAGTGCTGGTAATGGATTCTTCAAGTGTAAAAGGCATATTCAGGTGTAGGAGGTTAAGAGAAGGTGTCAGCTGGAGTGTGGAGCTCCAAAATTGTAGTGTTGCTGTTAAATCAGCATTGCACACTGATTTGCATCACAATCTGCCTACTCTGTATATTTCTAGCAGGCATTAAGTGTGCACGTATTAACCCATTTTAAACAGGTTGTCTGGCATAATTTATGACAGAAGTATACAATGGATGCTATTTTGACGCCTTAAGGAATGTTGTAGTGTTCAAAGAGTGAATGCTATTGAGCCCACTTTTTCTGCAATTAATGTGTGAGAACACAAGTCTTCCACCCATGTGAGTCTGCTACCATAATTCTAGATGCCTGATCAATGTTGCACCTTGAGGACTGGACTTCTCTGTTGGTGTTTAACACCATGTTCAGCGTCTAACCTCCTTTGTGTTGTGATGGGCTTGCATTAAGTTGCTGTTCACACTCTTCTAAGCATACAATTTCCCCTTGCAAACCAAGAAGTTCAATTGTGGTTTCAATGGAAAAAAAAGTCTCTTTAACAACCTGAAATTCCTCTGATTTTCCTGAGTTCATACTCTTACATTTGCAGTGTAATCAAATGAGTGATGGATAACTACCTGTCTGTTGCTGTTCTTCCACAAGAACTGAAACGTCCTTTTAAAAAAAGGCTACTCGATCAGTGCTTCTTTTCTTAAATTTTCCTTCTAGATCAGGCAAGAAACTGGATTTTGCCTCAGTTTCCTTCTCATGAGAGAAATTAAAATGGTGCTCCTGTGAGATGGAGTAAGAATTTAATAGAAACAAATGAGTGAAATGAAAAAATTCAAACAATACTACTTCGTAATTTGTTCAAAGAATCTAAGTAGTGCTGTCAAATTCAATATTTATTGCCCATTACTATTTAATATGAGAAAGACATTCTTCTCCTTGTTGCCTCCTCAGCCTTACTAAGTGACCTTCGAGGACAGGAATAGGTATGGTGCTGGTACACGTATATTAATGATACAGCTGTTTGATCTGTCTCAAATGCTAGAACTATGTATTGTGCAATTAAACAGAAAGTCCATTTATTCTTCTGTTTAAATAATTGTTCCAGCAAATAATAACCTGTTTTACAAAGTAAAATATTCCAAGCCATTTTACAGAGGTGTTACCAAGCAAAATTTGACTTCAAGCCACATTAAGGAATTATTAGGACAGAGCACATAGATACAAAGAAAAGAAAGAATTCAACTTACATAGTGCATTTCACAACCACTTGAGATCTCAAAGTGCTTTACAGCCTATTAAGTACTTTTGAAATGTAGTCACTGTTGTAGTGCAGGAAATACAACAGTTAATTAATGTACAGCAAGCACCCTGGAACAGCAATATGATAATGACCAGGAAATCTACTTTTATCAATGGTGAAAGAGAATAAATTTGAATCAAACAGGGAGAAATCATTTGACTCAAAGCAAAATATTGCAGATGCTGGAAATCTGAAGCAAACACTGAGAATTCTGGAGAAAGTCAGCAGGTCTGGCAACATATGTGGAGAGAGAGAAAAATGTTAATGTTTCAAGTGTGGTTTGACTCTTCATCAGTTCTGACCAGACTCAAAACATTAACTCTGTTTGTCTTTACACAAATTCTGCCAGACCTGCTGAGTTTCTCCACCATTCTCTGTGCTTGAAGGGAGAAATTGTTTGCTTGCTTCTTCAAAGTAGTTATGTAGAATCTTGAGATGGCATACAGGGCTCAGTTTAATGTCTCATTCAGAAAACATCATCTTCAGCATTCCCTCAGTACTGCACTGGAGTGTCAGCTTTGATTTTTGTGCTAAGGTCCGGCAGTGAGATTTGAACTCACAACCTACAACTGACTCAGAGGTGAAAATGCTGCCAACTGGGCTATGGCTGATACTGTATTGACAATACACTGAGGACTCCTTCATCAGGTTGGCATTGGATAGGAGCACTTTGTTAGGCAAGATCAAATAAACTTCTATTGCTATTGAGGCCTTACCATCTTCAGTTCTTGAACAATATCCTTCAGTTTGTCTTTTGTCTCCTCACTAATCTCAATTTGTGACTGAATCACCCATTTTCCACCACAGAATCGAACTGGCACAGAGAAAATGAGGCCAGATGGAATGCCAAAATCACCTGGAGCACAGGATCAAAAGATGCTGCATCTCATTAAATATTTCAGTGCCTGCCTTATAACAACTGATCGTGATGGAGTCATTGAAATTTTCAGAAACCTGGGGGAGGGGTGGAGGTTAATTTCCTCTCAGGGTGTGCTGTTCCATATATCTGTACTGAATTTTTCACATCCTCAGGGCATTTTGAAGCAGTTTCCTGCAAATAAACCCCTTTTTAAAAGTCTAATCACCCTTGTAATGTAGGAAACAGGTGACCCAATTTGTGTACAGTGTGTCCCATACTCAGCGTTGTGAAAATGATCAGATAATCTATTTTAGTGATTTTGGTTGAGGGATAAATATTGATCAGAACATTAGGGAGAATTGAATACGAGTCACTGCTTAAAAATAAGGTGTTGCCTACTTAAGACAGAAATGAGGACAGCTTCTTTTCTCAGAGGGTCAGGAGGCTTCGGAACTCTCCTTAAAATTCCTTGAATATTTATAAGGCCAAGATAGATAGATTGTTGATAAGCATGGGGGTGAAATGTTATTGGGAGTAGGCAGGAATGTGGAGTTATCAGATCAGCCACAATTTTAGTGAATGGCAGAGTGGAGCTGAGCGCATGTGCTGCTAGACTCCAATCGGCTATCAGCTTTTGGTAGTTGGGACTTCCATTCCTGAGGTCTGGCTTTGCGGTAAGGTGAGATTCCAGCTACACCCATGGGTGGACTCACCACTGGCTGGTATGGCTTGTGGTTCAGCAAGTCTTCCTGACAAGAGACACCAACAGTCTCTCACTGGCTCTCCTGTTGGCAGGCAAGAACCCCAATTCCAGAACAGCGTTCTGCCACTCCAAGTCTACATGAGATGGATCTTTTCACCAGCTAAACTGCCAGTTACCACTGACTGATTCAATTAAATGGGAACTTGGGGCCAAACTCCCTAGATCCAATCCTTGATCTGGGCTGCAATTTCTGATATGTTTAAGGGAAACAATATCAATCTCATAAAATCCGAAAGAACTGCGGATGCTGTAAGTCAGGAACAAAAACAGAAGTTGCTGGAAAAGCTCAGCAGGTCTGCAGCATCTGTGAAGAAAAAATCAGTTAACTTGTTGGGTTGTTAACTTGATGGTAACTGGGAAAACGTTGGCTTAAATGCAGAAAATAGGGAGAGGGTTTGGTAGGGAGTAAACGATAGGATAGAATCTGAAGAGAGAGAAGAGTAGTTGGATAGACAAAGGAGTTGATAACGCTCTGGCTGGGAGGGTGAATAGTTGTTAATGGGAACTGTTAATGACTAACAATTGGTCATGTGTAATGGCAGGCTATGTAGTAACAAGGCCTGGTGAGTTGGGTAGGGGGCTAAGACATAGGAGAGTTTAGGCCCTAAAATTATTGAACTTGATATTGAATCCGGGGGGGGTTACAGGGTCCCCAAGTGGAAAATTAAGTGTTGTTCTTCTAGCTTGCATTGAGCTTCGCTGGAACAGTGCAGCAAGCCAGAGACAGAGATGTTGGCCAGGGAACAGGGTGGTGTGTTGAAGTGGCAGGCAACAGGTATTTCAGGGTCTTTTTTGCGAGCAGAATGTAGATGTTCTGCAAAGCGGTCACCCAGTCTATGCTTTGTTTCCCCAATGTCGAGGAGACCACATTGTGTGCAGTGAATGCAGCAGACTAGACTCTGGGAGGTACAGGCAAAGTGTTGCTTCACCTGGAAGTTATGTTTGGGCCCTTGGATAGTGGGGAGGGAGGAGGTAAATGGGCAGGTGATGCGCCTTCGCCGCTTGCAGGTGAAGGTGCCGTGGGGCTGTGGGGTGTTGTTGGGGGTGAAGGAAGAGTGGACCAGGGTGTCCCGGAGGGAACGGTCCCAGCAATCAATCTCATCCCTCCTGAATTAGAACGCAGAGAGATCAACCATGTGTTCCCCTGCAACTCCTGCTAGGAAGTCTAGAACTTATAAGTGAGGTTAGGACTATATGGGCTAAATTATGATACTTTTGTTGCAGCTGTATAGAGCTTTAGTGAAGCCACATTTGGAATACTGCATACAATTCTGGTCACCACACTATCTGAAGGATGTGGAGGCTTTGTATACGGTAGAGAAAAGGTTTACCAGGATGTTGCCTGGTTGCAGAGTATTAGCTATGAGGAGAAATTGGACAAACTTGGTTTATTTTCATTTGAACATCAGAGGCTGAAAGGGCAATCTGATAGAAGTTTAAAAAATTATGAGAGGCATAGTCAGAGTCTTTCTTCCAGGGTAGAAATGTCAATTACTAGGGGACATAGGTTTAACGTAAAAGGGAGAAGGTTTAAGTGAGATGTGAGAGGCAGGTTTTTACACAGAGGATGCCTAGAATGCACTGTGAGTGGAGGTGGTAGAAGCAGATACAATAGTAATATTTAAGAGGCATCTTAACAGATAAACAAATAAGCAGGAATAGAGGCATATGGACCATGTAGAGCAAAAGGTTTTGTTTAGAAAGGCAACATGTGTCAGCTCAGGCTTGGTGGGCCAAAGGGCCTGATCTTGTGCTGGACTGTTCTTTGTGCTTTCCACATGAAGCATTAAAATCAGTAATTCCTTGCAGAACGGTATCTTGCCCTAAATGAGTGAGTTGGTGAAGAGGAAAGGAAATGGAAGAAAGAGAAGATATTTCTGAAAAGGATGGCTCACCTTGACTGACAACTCCAAGAGATACAAACTCCCCTGGTGGTGAGTCATGATACCACCAATTCAAGACATTGTATATCGCAATGGCAGAGGACATGCCCAGGCGGTGTTTCAATGCTGCTTGAATTTTTGTTCGATGTGCATGCAATTCTTCTACAAATTCTTCTTCTATCCAATTTCTGCAACAGAAGTTTGAAGCAAACATACTCAATGACAGGTAATAATGAGTGCAAACCCAAGCTATTTCTTGATAACTATTTTCAGTGAGTGATGCTGAATGAATAACTCGCATGCAGCAACTTGCAATTAAAGTAGCATCTTCAGTGTGACAAATGAAGCAAAGCATTACTGGCGGAAAGGCATGACACACATGAATGGGAGGCTAGAAATCATGAAGTTAAAAGACTATAAGCAATAGGAACACAAGTAGGCCATTCAACCCATTGAGTCTGTTACACAATTCAATGAGATCATGGCTGATCTGATAATCCTCAAATCCACTTTCCTGCCTTTTCCCCATAACGCTTGATTCCCTAAGTGATTAAAAATCTGTCAATCTCAGCCTTGATTTTACTTAATGATCTCGCATTGACAGCCTCTGCAGTAAAGAATTCCACAGGTTCACTGCCTCTGAGAGAAGAAGTTCCTCCTCATCTTTGTATAAAAATGGGTGACTCTTTATTCTGAGATTATGCCCTTTGGTTTTAGATTCTCCCTCAATGAGAAACACCTTTGCTGATCTACACTGTTAAGTCCCCTAAGACTCTTATATTTTTCAATATGGTTGCCTCTCATTCTTCTATATTCCAATGAGTACAGGCCGAACCTGCTCAACCCCTCCTCATGAGACAGTCCCTGACACTTGGTATCAGCCTAGTGAATCTCCTCTGGACTGCCTCCAATGCCAATATATCTTTTCCAGATAAGGAGCCCAGAATTTTCAAAGTATTAAAACTGTGACTAGTGCCTTGTTTGATTTTAGCAAAACCTTCCTATTTTTATATTCCATTCCATTTGAAATAAAGGCCAGCATTCCATTTGCCTTCCCTATAACCCACTGAGCTTGGAAGCTAGCTTTATTTAACACATCATATGTGGCAACAGTGGAAAAGCCATTCACTGTATTTTTATTGTTTTTCTCACTGTCAAATACACATGACAACACCGTTTAAAATAAATTCTCCTCATCTTCCTCCCATCACAATTTGTTTCCCAAATATTTTAGATCTGCATCCACAGGATACCAATCCACCTGCTAGTTCAATCTTAACTATTTTGTTAAATCTTTTCAAAAATTTGAACCTTTCCATTAAATCACCCCTTATCTTTCTCTGGTCTAAGGAGAACAATGTTACTTTCCTGAATCTCTCCAATTAAAGCCCTCATCCTAAACCTGCGGTCAGAAAATTGAGGGGGCTTTTGATGGCAAAAAGAAATGACTTTGGAGGTGATTTCTTTGTTAGAGATGTGATTGCTGAAGATTCTTGTCGGTTATGAAGTGGAGGGTTCTGGGATGATCATGATTATATTCTTTCTCCTTGAAATGATGGCATTACTTGACTCCAGGATACCGAATAAATAGCGATATTGGTGTCATGAGCTCACACCTATCTAACAACAGGACTGAAACTGCTAATGACATTTCATATAACCAAACATGCCAAACCAACTATCTCACAAATCAAGAGAAAAGCTGTTAAAAATCAAGACAGTTGGTCTAAAAATCACCTGGCTTCTTTAAAAGAAAAGACTCATGGTTGGTTTAGAAACCCTGCCAATAGCTCAATTAATCATTAATAAGCCAGAACTCTTCTAAAAAAAACGCTAGGCAGAATTTTCTGGTCCCCTGCCAATGAGTTTGCAGGCAGTGGAGGAGAAGCCTATAACATCCTCCAGAAATATCAAACCACCCACCCACCCACCCCTGACCTGTCTGCAATTTTATGTGTGGAAGGAGAGGAGTAGGGTGGCCTACCCACCCTCAGCTCAACCGAAGCTCTTAGGGGAGCCTCGGCAGTAAGACTTTTTTCATTAAGGGGTAGAACCGCACCTCCAGCTTACAAGTGGCCAATTGACCTTCCTGTTGTCATGCTGTGGCTCAATTTTTCACTGTAGGGACAATATGGAAGGAATCACAACACTCCTTACAATCTAGTCCCATGTTGCTGCATCACAATATATTTTGCCATTATTTATTTTTAAATCCTATCAATTTTTCCTACATGTTAAAGAATGAGCTATCACTTCACTACAGTCACTATTGGCTGAAAGAGGCATCTCTTTATAGGATGAAATCCAATTCATGTGTCTCAGTTTAATACACGCATAGTAAAAGTACAATCTTCTCACCTCCAAGTCTGAGTGATTCAAAATATAATAAATACATAAATGATAGCTGACCGGCAAAAAGATCTTCTGATCTATCCAATCTGTCCCACAAAAGTACAGTTCCTAATTATCACCATATGTGCATGCCCCACTCTTAAAATGTAAAGATTTCAATTATCTGTGTTACTCATTATGTTTATTATCAATACCTTGAAATAATTTAATAAATCAAATGGTCATGCAGAATATATTACTGCACATTACAATTGTGCTGCTGCTTTAGTACTAACAGACACCAACTTATAACTCTACACTACTACTTATTCAAGGACATGCATACTGCATGCTTTATAGTTACGTGTACAAAGTAACGGATGCTAAACAAAAGTGCAATATTTAAAAATAGGAAGTAGTTGGGGAAATTAAGACACAATTGAAGAAAAATATTTTGAGAGTTTTTTTTAAAGGAATGAAGTTGATGGGAACTGAGAGGGCAGGTCAGTAAAGGTGAAATGAGGGGCCATCAGTAGTGAAGTGAAAAACAGCAAAATGCATGAGTGGAAGAATGCAGGAATTTGAAAATTACACCAAAAATTTAAGTCACCTCCCTAGGGAGTTAGATGTAGAGCAGTCTTTATCATCATCCTTCCCGTCAGCACCATTGCACAATATTGCACAAGCATAGCACACCACTGTTATTCAGGACACCACAACCAGGTACACAAACCGCAGTCAATACGGTGTGGAGCTGGAGGAACACAGCAGATCAGGCAGCATCAGAGGAGCAGGAGAGTCGACGTTTTGGGCCTAGACCTTTCATCAGGACTGAGCAGGACACAAACTGCAGAATGTCTTGGCACCTGAGATGCATTCTCAGCAACCTAACTGCTCGCTTAAGGACCACTATTGTACTCATTTAGCTTCAGTCAAATCTTTCCTGCTCGGCACATGTAGGCTTTCTCAAAAGTGTCCACAGCCACATCCCTAGGAGAGTAGCTTTTTGTTTGCAGGGTATAATTTGCTGACTGTGTTTTTGGGTGTGAAGCTCTATGGGAGACAATGACTGATGCAGAATTAAAGAATCATGGCAGCTTCCAGGATATCTCACTCAGATATCCATAAACAATATAAGTCCCAGTGGTTACTTGCCAGCTGTATACTGCATGGCAGGAATCTCTTCCAACCGATGAATACTCCAAGCTGATCTCAAGACACCTTTACTGTCACATGTGTGGAGTTCATGACTCCTTGATCCCATGGGATTCCAGAAAGAAAATCTGAGACTCCTCTAATTCTAATAAATACAAAATACTGCAGATACTGGACATCCGAAGTAAAAAAAAAAGATTGCTGGAGAAACTCATCAGGTCTGTCAGCATTTGTCACATGTGAAACAAAGTTAATACCTCAAGTCCAATATGACTCTTCTTAACAATTGATTCTGAATGGCCTCATCAGTAGCAAAGTGGTCCTAAGTGGTGACCCTGACAACCATGGAATTGGTCACCTGGGAGGAGCACTTCTGCCCATTGGATTGTGAAATTCCACCAATATCTCCACATTGACAGTCACTGGCAATGTCGGCTGACTTGGAAGACATCTTGCACCAAGAGTGTACATGGATCAGCACTGACGTGCAGCAAAGTCTGAGCCTCCTGTCACTCATTCCCATATACAAAGTTGATTGTCCATCAGCAGACCCTGTGTTGGGAACATTGCCTCCTTTGAGATAAAGCTGTTTATTTCCCCTCCGTCATGAAGAGGACAGGAAGCTGAGAAGAACGCAGTTGCTGCTGTCACTGATGCTGCTCCTGGCATTTTTGGTGTTGCTAGTGCTGCTCCTCTTGTTGTGCACCAGAATTCCAAGCTGCAGAAATTGATACCGTTCTCCTGAGAAGGTCAACTACAGGGAGGTGAAGAGTCAAATGGGCATATTTTCATCTCTCAATGTAAATGCGAATCTGGTTGCAAAACACTCAACTGATTTCATTTTTGCTGTGCCTACCTGACCCAGTGCCTTTTTCATGCAGCCTTTTTGTGGGTCAGGAATTGTGAAAAACACACACACCTCTGCCAAGCTAGGTGTCCCCATTCCGAGGATCACAGGAAAATTATACTTCCTCCTGCACATGATTTTCACGTGCTTGTGCAGGATTTAGAAGTCCAAAAAGAAGTCATCCCCTTGGAAAATTCGTAACACTGCTAGAAGCCTGCTGAGCATTTGGGAACATTCTGAAACATAGGTGCAACATTTTCAAATGTCACTGTTAGATGTTGTATTGTAATGGAGTGATTCATTATCGGCCACCAGTAGGGAAATTTGCAAATATGAGTTAACCAATAAATTGACCAGCATTGTGTAAGTGTTGACATTCAATACAGTGATCTTTCCAATGGAGAAAGTGCCATGATATTTTCAAAGACTCTCTTTGTCACATTGGGTGCTATAACTGAACTGTGATATTTTAAAAAACCCTCTGCTTTTGAAAGAAATTGACAAGCTGTCTGCCTTGAAATGGAGAGGACACTAACTTTCAATTCTTTCAATTTCAGGGCCTTGAAGCTGTAATCACTTGAAGATCCAAACCCTGTTGTCCTCAGTCTGTTGACATGCCTGACACGGGGGAATTACTGACAGTTTTACAAGGTTGTAACAACATTTTCTATCTTTGGTGTGACTTTAAAATATATAATTCTTTGTTTACACAACTTAAAGGTCTCTTAAAGGATTAACTTTTTTCAATAGGTCATTTTTTGCAGCATCAAAAGCAACATTTTGAATGAGAATTTTATATTATCATGGAGTTAATTTTTTAACATCGATATTTAAGATAATTCCCATTGTAACTGT